ACAGGATAGAAAGTTAGTGAATGAAGGTCAAGCCTCGGGAATATCTGACAATAATTCGCGAGTTTTAATATATCATCACTATCACGCTCGGTACGTACGCCAGCTGGTCCAGCTTCTTGTCCATCGCCGACAGCTGCGGCGAAAACGAAAAATGCGATTCGGAACAGGCGAGAGCAAGAACCCTGCGAGTAGAAGGGCGGCGCGTTGGACTAAGGATGAAAAATGAAGAAAAGAGAACAGAGATTGCGAGCGGACGAGCGACTAACCGGATGTTAGGCGTAAGAAGCGCGCATAACTGTCTCGTAAATATCTCTTTCGAACCGTTTGTCATCCGCACTTAAGCGTTAAACAACGCGGATTATTAAATTATTAAAAATGTATCAGTATTTCTAGCAATCGAAAAATTAGCGTGCGATATAACTCGAAAAAAATGTCGCTAGCCGGAAGCTGTAAATTTTCAACCCCTTTTCTACTGCAGCTTTAAAGCTAAATATCATTAAATCTTTGAAATTTAAATATATTTTATATTATGCTCGTAGTAATTTATGAACTGCTTGCCCTTTCTGCTTTACCTTCAAGCGAGTGAGCTCAGGTTCTTTGTGTGTGGAAGGTAATAATGGAGAAAGGAGTATAAAGGTTGGTGAACAGATGTCTCGTGAAACTAAAACCTGCGAATCGGAGATAAATTCCAATGTCATCGCAAGTGCAATAAAAAATTCGGATGCAATAAAAAACGGATATTCAAACATAAATACAGGTTCCGAGAAGGCAATCAAGGAGAAAATCAACAACGAACAAATACAGTTGGAAATGTAGAAGTGAATCTAGGAGAAAGTCAACAAGGAATAAGTCTAGTTGGAAATTTGGGAGCAAATCTAGGAGGAAGTCAAGAAATAAACCAAGCGGGAAATCCAGGGTTGAATGCCGGAGGAAATCAAGTAACAAAGCAAGTTAGAAATCTAAGCGTAACTGCAGGATGAAGTTAAGGAATAAACCAAGCTGGAAATGTAGGCGTCAATGTAGGAGGAAGTCAAGGAATAAACCAAGCTGGAAGTGTAGGCGTTAATGCAGAAGGAAGTGGCAGAAGTCAAACTTTATGCATTATAATACAAAATGCATTATTGAGCATTGATATTGGACTATTAAAATCATTTAAAAATGGTTTTCTTAGAAAATTATTGGAATGAGTTTAAGATATTAAAAAAAAAAAACATATAAAAAAACTTTATAAATAATCATTTACGTATAAATTACGATAATAATTTTAATAAAAATGTATTATATATATATATATATTTATTTATTTGTATTACGATAAATGCATTATGTACCACAAAAATTTTTTGAAGAAATACAGTTTCGAAATTTAAATTGATATATTTCACCGACAATTAATGTATTATAATCGGAAACTTTTATAGAAGTTATAATAATAAATTTATATAAAATACAAAAAATAACAAAAATATATATAAAAAATTATATAGAAATTAAATATTTAAAATTGAATTGTTAAATAATATGTCGATACTTTTGCCTTTACAGAAAAGTCGACGATTATTTCATTAAATCATTTGACTTTATCTATTAATGAACACAGTTCATAAACTATTCGTATAAAACATAGTACATAAATCAAATTTATTAATATATTTGATAAATTAAAAAATGTGATTTATCTTTTTATAAAATATAGATTTATAATCATATTTATATTTATAATTTTATAAACAAAAAATAATTAATTATATATTTTTCTTATATCCATTTTTCTTATTTCTATTTTTAAGTAAACTAAAATTTATAAAATCAAGATCATCATAATTGTTGGTTGTGATGCTACATGAACACCGTTACCATCATTCATATTGCCAACTTCTGAATAAATCTATAGAAACATTTATTATATAATATTTAAATAAAAAATAAATTCTTAGTTTTTGCTGTATAAAAAATTAATTATACATAATAATATTAAAAAATAGTAATACAATTTACATTTTTTATTCAAGTTTAGTTGGCTAACCAAATAATATTCATCTTTAATATTGCCATTGAAATGAGTTCTAATAGCAACGGATATGTTTCTGTGACAAATGTTACAGTTAACATAAAAGTCATCACCTTTGATACAATATTTTCATAATCAACTTTAAAATATATGTTTTCTTAAATGTTTCTTAGAATGAAAGCGCAAGTCATCTTCTAAACTTTTAGATAAAAATAAAACGTTCTCAATCACAAATAATGCATTTCAATGAGTTGAAACATGTAAAATATATTCTTACCGATCCGTGTAAACTTTGATATTTTTCTTCAAGATCAAAAAAAATTTTTCATACATTTCTCTATATGTAAAGATTATAAGGTGAACATTTCGTTAGCAATACATAACAGTCTTTTAATGCCATCGACATTGTGTCCGTTCCAAGCGATAAAACGCGTTCTGATAAGCCAACTGTGTCCTGCGTTTCTTGCGTACTTTTCAATTTGTCCGAATGTTCATTTTTTGTATGAGAATCCAGAAATTTGTAAATACTAAGGGATAAATAGCTTTGACAGATATTACACTTCACTGCAAAATCATTTACTTTCGTCCAATATTTCCATTGCCAACTGCGAAGTTTATAATTATTTTGTTGTTCCTCAGAATGCGAACTCAAATGATTTTCTACAGATGTAGACGGAACGTTTGCATCACAGATAATGCATTGCGAATTTAATTTGTCTAGATACTTGAAATACTTCCACCATATCATTAGTTTTCTCTCTTTTTCGTATTTCCAAATTCTTCTATGGTGTGTTATTATATGCGTTTGAAAGTTTGAAGCGTTTAAATAATGGTATTTCTTTTCGCAAAACATGCATTGTGCTTTAAAATTCGGTAATTTTACATAATATTCCCACAGACAACTTTTAGTTGCAATATTCAGTGACGTAGACATTGTGTCCGTTTCAAGTGGTGAAATTTTGACGCATTTTGACGAAGCAACTGTGTCATGTTTTTCTTGCGTATTTTTAAATTTATCCGAATGTTGCATTTTTATATGAAAATCCAAATATTTCTGAATAGAAAGAGAAAAGTTTTTATGACAAATATTACACTCCACCTCAAAATTATCTCTTTTCGTACAATATTTCCATAGCCAACTACGATATGTACGATCCATCCATTGTTCCTCAGAATGCAAATTTAAATGATTTCTTATAGATTCAAATGTAGACGGAACATTTGTATCGCAGATAATACATCGTGAATATGATTGGTTTGAATACTTGAAACACATCCACTCTTTTGCTAATAGTTTTCTCTCTTCTTCGTATTTCCAAATTTTTTTATGGTGTCTTGTTATATGCGTTTTAAAGTTTGTAGCAATTATATAATAGTATTCCTTTTTGCAAAACATGCACTGAGCTTTATAATCCGATAGTTTTATATAATATGCCCACAGATAATTTTTAGTTGCAATATTCTGTGTCGTAGACATTATGTCCGTTTCAAGTAACGAAACGCATTTTGACGAAGCAACTGTGTCGTGTATTTCTTGCGTATTTTTCAATTCATCCAAATGTTGCACTTTTATATGATAACTCAGCTGTCTTTGAATAGAAAGAGATAAGTTTTTATGACAAATATCACACTCCACTAGAAAATCCTTTCTTTTTCGACAATATTTCCATAGCCAATTGCGATATTTACGATTCTTCCGTTGTTTTTCAGAATGCGTATTTAAATGATTTTCTACAGATGTAGACAGAACATTTACATCACAGATAATACATCGTGAATATAATTCGTTTAAATACTTGAAATACATCCACGGCCCTTTTTTTATTAGTTTTCTCTCTTCTTCGCATTTCCAAATTTTTTTATGATGTATTGTTATATGCGTTTGGAAGTTTATAGCCATTACGTAATAGTATTTCTTTTCGCAAAACATGCACTGTGCTTTAAAATCCGACAGTTTCACATAATATTTCCACAGATTCTGTTTGGTTATAATACTTGATGACATTGTGTTCGTTTGAAGCGACTGGTCGCGTGTAACTGAATATCAGAAAATCTTTCTGCCGAAAGTAAACTAGAGAACGAAAGAGTTCGCATTGTTCTCCATTTGAATGTAAACATTGGTACGTCGGCCAAATCTAGCTAACGCATATCAAAACATACGGTAACATCTCATGTGAGTACAAATACATCTCAGCGAAAGACACGTGACAGTGTGTCCTATACACGAATATATTGTTGTGTGAAAAATAATGTACAAATAATATAATATATTTATTTATATGTATCCGATAAAATTATTCTCAAATTATGGCTACATCAAAGAAATTGGTATGGCTATATAAAAGAAAACATGTATTTTTTAAATTATTTATTCTGCGTTAAATGCAAGTAATATACTGATTGCAAAAATTCATAAAAGAATTGGATAAAAGAAATTAATAAATATAATTGGATAAAAAAATTATTGCATTTATCTACGTAATTTATATTCAGATATGACGTTATCAACGTCTTTTTTTGCAAAATGCCTCGGATCATTAAACTTTCTGTTTGACCACGATGCGTCACATTGTCTAATGATTAAGAAATTAACAAGAAGATATTCCGGATATCGTGCAAAAAAGAAATATCTTAAATATTGATTAGATAACGTTGCAAATAAATTCTATTATTTTTATATTTAGATATATAATCTCGGACAGATTGTTTTTCTTAAATTAATATAGTGTTATTTTTGATAAATATATTTTTATACTTTTAATATAACTTCAATTTTTTATATTATTAAAAATTTATAGTAAGATATTTTTAGAATTTTAATATATTTTTCTTGGTATTTTTATAAAACTTTAATACTTCCTAAATAAATATTGTGCAAGAGAAATCCGACAAAATATTTTTACAATTTCAGAGCGGATTTTATAAGTCAGCGTTCGCTGGTGTGTTGCATCAATTCGCAGTTTTTTACTGCAGCAGAACGAACAACATCTGAAAGGTCACAAAACTTTTATCTTCGTTCTGTTAGTGGTCCTTTTGGATCTCGTTTCCTGCCATCCAGGAGAGGAGGAAGGTAAGTGGTCTGCTAGTAAGTCAATATTCTTATTAACTTAAAATATTGGAATATCTGAATAAAGAAAAAAACATTGTAGAAAAATCTATTCTAAATTTTTAACTCTCACTTTTTTTTAATCATTATTTTCTCGACAATACTATGATTTTGACACCATTGTGTTTTTAAAATTGTGTTGATTCAATTTTTATTAATTATAGATTCCTTATGCGTTTAATATCAAGGAATGAGACGAAGGACATGCAATAACAGTTGCATTTTGTCATAATTTTGGTAGTCTCTTGGCTTTCTCGGCGGAGGCCAACTGGAGGCCATTGCTCCGGTACCGGAACTGGCGACAGTGCAAAAAAAGAGCTGTTTGCTAAACTTAGACCTGAATCTTAAAAAGATTCTAAAGAAACCTTCAATATTTATTTTTATCGTAATATACAGAGACACACAAGATAGCACATCCGGTAGTTATTTGCGATACAAAACAATAATAAGAGGCACTTTCTAATAATAAATTATTGTTATAAATTAACACATATAACATCTTAATTGTACCCAAATCAATGTAATCACAGTAAAAGCACTCGAATTTAATAATGTTTGCTTAATTGTAATCTTGTTACCTTTTTCTATAGCGCTGAAGTTTCCCCTTCGATATTCTCGCCGCTGTGTAGATCGAACGGAAGTAAAATCTGCAGAAAAACGGAGACGGAAAGTGGTGCGATAGAATAAATAATAAAAAGATTTCAAGAGAATAGTAGATATGAGATATATTCAACTTTTACTTGTTATAATATTTGATAATAATAATAATTATGTATATTTATACTTATAATTACATAGGTAATGCTGTCGCAAATGTACAATATTTGACGGATGGTATATTATGCATGATTTTTAAAAATCATTTTTATCAGCACTTATCTGTATTATTTGTATGCGTCTCTCTCTTTATACATATACGCATATACATACATTCACGTAAATCTATATACGTGACGTGTGTATACGCGTATATCTGTGTGACGCGTTTGATCCATCCGCGTGTCTTCGCATCATCTGTACGCCATTTCTTCGCGTCTTACACGCATTCTGTATGCGTTCATTGACGTTGCGGCTCGTGGATGGACCACCGAAATGTATAATTATAAGCTCTAAATCTAAAAATGTCATAGACCTTTGAGAGCGCACTACCCACGTTCACAATTGGAAGGACACTTGCAAAACAGTTTTGCCACAGAAAGTTGAAAGTGTATTATTATTATCAGAGCGACATACATACGCGCCCACACGCACACACACACACACACATGCGCACACACAGGCATTCCATTTCCACTTCCAGCTGCGCTGCGCTTCATTCTCCAACACGTGCCTTTTTAATATCGTAAAAAAATCCAAATATATCAGAGTTCAATAAATCATACATCGAAGAGAAAGCAATATAGAACAATATATTGCACTCAAAATTCCTGAAAGTAGTAATTTGTAAGTTTTAACGATAATATTGTTAACTTTTTCAAACTCTCGGATGGCGAAAATTGTGTTTAATTTGATCCGATATATGTTTCGTTGAAATTGAATAAAAATGTGCCATGTTTGGAGAGTCATTAATTAATAAATTCTCGTTAAAAAATATTCATCAAGCCATTTTTGAAATGTGTAAATAAATTTGATCGAAGCACTACAGTTTTTACGTAATTATTAGCGTCAGTTTCGAGTAGGAGTTAAGAGGCACAAAAATCTAGTGGATCAGAATTGACCTATTTTCGTCACCCGCGTTATTATTTCTGTCAATTGAGAATTAATTACTGGCGGGAACTGTTAATATGACGCTCCACGCAGAATTTTCATGATGTTATATTGCAAAAATTGTTGCTAAATATATTGAATATTAATGTAGGAGTAAAAATATACAGGAGACACTCTTTCGCATAAAAACCACTTCCGCCTGACATTTGATATTCAATATAATACATCATAGAATACATCTCGCGCCAGCGCTAACGTTACATGAGAGCATATTTTAGTACCTAAGAGCATTATTCTGCGTAACAATACGGAGTACGTCTGCAAGTCCAACCGCCAACTTCTCATTATAAAGCAGTATTTTTTTCCACCGAGAAGCGTGCGTGTTTTTATCGCGCGATTCGTTAAAAATGGAAACAAGAGTGAGCGAATTAGCCGACAAACGTTTGCGATCCTGAAAAAATATACGGCATTTAACAAGAAAACAAGATATGCAAAAATATATCCAGCTTTTATGTTACAATAAAACCGCGTTAATTCTGCAGAGCAGTGATTGTCGACAATTGTGGTAGCAACAGTAATTGCAAATTTGTATTAATTCGTAAATATACAGATTAGTAGATCATAAATATAGAGAGAGATGCGTGATTCATCTTGTTCGTATTTCCATTGCACATTTATTGCTAGCGCTATATGCAGCTCTCTACAATTCTACGTTTCGTTATTTTACAGTGTACATCTTGTACGTCCGACGTGAGCGAAGTCCCAGAAGCAATGTTAAATGTGCGGTGGAAATACTTTTCATAGCTTTCTTGTGATTATCTTAGCGCCTGCGAAAAAACGCAATAATTATAGAGGTGATTTGATTCGCATGCTTATTCACAAAGTATACTTTCGGCATGCCGGACAAACGAAAAACGGCGATACAGTGTCAACGGCTGCGAACAACATCGGATTGATTTATTCTATGTGGTAACATAAATCGTTATCGTCATCGTAACGCGTATCTTCTTTAATCGGTACTGACAGTAGGAAGAGAGGTCACGGTCAAGGCGACGATCTTGTAAGCCCATCACTTCGAGGCTTTTCAAGATCGAAAAAACGTCTTAAGGTGATTACTTTTATCGAGACACACAGATAAAATATAGGCAACTACGGTGATTAGGATCGAATTACGATAGCTTCATTCCTTATCTTTCACCCTCGTCTCCGAAGGTCACATTAAATGGTACTTCTCGATCGGACAGTTCCGTCACTCTCATTTAATTGCTTTGCTAAACGCGACTGCTTCAACAAGTGTATAGTTAGGAGGAAAGATATTGAGCACTTTCAAATTGCAAATACAAGGAGTGTGATAGAAATCACAAGGTTTCTTTTCAATACAAAGTAGCGCGCAAGCATGATAGAAGAATCTTTATGTATCTTAGGCATAATTGCAGTTTTTCGTAATTCGCGAAAGTGTAGAAAATCTTTGTCTCTTCGTCATTTGAAACAGGTGCTTGTAGGATAACAATAAGTAGGATAAAATGTATTCTGAGATTTTTTTAAATTGAATCTCATTTGTGGAACAATCTAATTTTGCTCCACGCGAATGCTAAACAATACATTGAGATTGTCGAAAAATATGAAACCTTTTGTTATAAATTAATCTTTGGTTCTATATCTTTGATTATATATTTGTTATTTTTTCATATTTAAGAAAATATAAGTGGAGATTTTTTTAATAATAAAAAATCGATTTTAAATTTACAAAACAATCTATCGATAAAAGGTGGTCCGTTTGCACTTGGAATGTTTGTATTTCTTGATACGTTTTTGTAAAAATTGAAAATCGATTATCGTACGGAGAATAATTTGTTGCTTCTTGGCCTTGCTCGTACTCCGCGAGTTTTCTATAAGCGACGTTCCTCCGCGGATTGATATTCAACATAGCCTACTCTTGGGAGAATTAGTTTTTGATCTTTAGATTCCCAACGAGAAGGGAAGTTTTGTGTCCCTTCAAATGGTCGATGTAGTTATTTCATTTCTCGGTTAAGTATGTGTAATTGTTTTCTCGCTTTTTCATTTTTACAACTATTTACAGATACACGGTTACTATATCTCTACAATGATTGCATTGCTTTCACTAAAATTTGTTTTTATAAAAAAATTATAATATTTTAATAATAACTTCCAATTAATTATTTTACAGAAAATAACATGGAAATTTATTTATAAACTTCAGTGAAAAACTACACGCGGAAAAAATAATTACTGGCGCAGTACATTTTATGCTGTCGTAGTAAATTTTATCAGTTATTGTATAGACAGCGAAAAGATTTATTTTGAGAATACTAATTTTATTTCCTATAAAAAATTTCCTATTTTATCTAAAAATTATTTTATCATAATAAATAATTTTTATTCTCAAATCAGTAACATGTGTTAAAGACACATCTTGTTTAAATAGCAAATTTTTCTTTGTGTTAAAATTAGAAATCTAAAGACGTAACTCACGTCAGAAATGTTTGTGGAACATTCGTCCAATAAGTTGTCAGTATTATTAATAAATTTAATTTCAATCATTTCTCCGCGAAGAGTGTTCAAGAGTGACAGAGTAGATGCAAAAGTGAGTAGATAACGCGCTCTCACTAATTCGTTGCAAAACTTCAAGACAATTCAAGAAAAACAAAGTAACCGGGAATTCTCATTCATAAAAAAAAAGAAAGAAAAAAAAAACGCATTCCACACCTCGAATCTATTATTTGCCTCGCGCGACTTGCTCAACGAGGCATACTACGTAGTATCATAAATACTGTTGTATTCGGTGTTTCAGAAATTAGCGTACCTTATATGCGCGCAATAAACCTTACGTAATAACAATAAGTAATGACAATATCTTACAGTACTCGAGTTATAACGCTATCACTATCTATCTGTATGTCGTCATGCATTTTTGAATCACAGAAAGATAAAACAAATTTCATCATCTGATAAGATTGCGGCAAGGATTCTCTAAGAGCAGCGCGTCGCACGTAGACGAGATCGATATGTCGCTCTACGCTCGACTAGTGTATATCATTTCGTCTTCGCTAATAGTTTTCGCTTGGATCGCACGATATATATCGGTGAATAGACGAAAACTGTAAACTCTAGTTGTCCAAAGCATGATCGCGCTCTACGGATTATTATTATTATTATTGAATTGTCTTATATTTAATATCGGCGTGATCTCACGACCGAATCAGCTTATAGAGAGCATAGAAAACTGTTTTTACAATAGATAGCTAGAAGGCAGAAACAAACTCCAGATGTACGGTCCCACTTTTTTTACACATTCATTCGAACGAGCGATCGATGAAGAGCCGGGCGTCTACGTTTGTAAACGTTATTTTGCAATATAATCTACGCATAGAATATCTAAACCGCCTCTACCGCTTATTATATTATACTCTACAGTGAATCTACGCTAAAAAACAATGCGAAAAAGTAACTATTTTTATTATTCTTCACCCGCCTAATTCTAGGATATTGACAGAGTTTACCAAAACGGTGCAGTTTCAAACGCATATCTGTATTTCGTGTTTGCGCATTGGTTTTGTTTTCATAACTCTATCACGAGATCATAGAATAGATATTTTACACGTAGAAGAATGTACATAGATGTCCCAGCGCTGATTAGCATGACGCGAGAATGTTCTTTTTTAAAAAAAAAAAAGGAAACAAAAAAATAACGTATTTCCTAAATCATTTTTGCCCTAATACTAGTATATAGGCACATGATCCATGAAAACACGCGCGTCTAGAAGAGATCCTACATCCGTCGAGTTCGGATCCACCGTGATCGTTGAGAGCTAGTCGAAAAATTTACAGGAATTACCGGGTCGGTAGGGTCTACCGTATCGCGTATCGACTACATTAATTTAATCCAGCGCTCGGAATCAGTTGCACATTTCGGGCCGATTCAAGGGACGACGACTCCTGTTCCCCCACTACCGCCCGGCCGCTGGCGGTCGAGTCGCCGATAGCTCTGGCGCAGGAGCGTTTTATATAAGAAATAGGCTCGGTTGTTGAGGCACCTCTAAAAAAATAGTAATATTTTCTTTGCTACATAAATAATGTTTATTTTCATTAATAATTAAATATATATATATTATATATTAATGAAAATAAACATTATTTATGTAATGAAGAAAATGTTACGATTTCCTGAGAGATGCCTAAACAATCCAGCCTA